ACGTTTTCATGTTTCAGAATGATCTGGCCGTTTATATGAACTTTTGTTAACTACTAGACTAGTACATCAAAAACGGTGTAGATTTGTCTAAACCTTGTATTCTCATGGTTTAGTATTCTAAGGCTTTTTATCTATAGTACCGCCAGACAGGAAAGTATGTTTGCTTACAACATTTTATCGATCGTTTTATGCACAACTCAAGCTTACTCGATGTCGATTTTTCCAGCAATTTTTCAGTTGATAATTTAACCATTCAATTAATTATCACTTTTTATTTACAGCTTATTTCCTCTGCGCCGAGCTTTTGTCCGGCCATTTTGGAGCAAACACATTTTTTAAGTTCATCATCAATTCATTTTGCATTTTTAATGGACAACGATTCGTCCTTAAAAACGACTACTACTAACGCCACTAGCAATGGTCACTTTAGAAAAAGTGCGTTAAAGTCTTCAAACGGTCAAAAGAAAGCACCAGATACAGGTCACTCATGTCCGTCGCCGCCTTTGAACGCCTCAACCGGATCATCCGGTACCATTTTCTCATTAGTTTCTAGAAAAAGCTCCACCGTCTCAACATCACCTACAACATCCTCCACATCTTCCACTCAAAACACAGTGATAACCTCAACGATGCCTTCCAATGGAATTTTCATTTCCGCAATAACCATCCTATCACGATCAAAGTATTACTTGTCCTCACTCAGACCTGGTTCTTTCGTGACCTCACTCATACCTGTGTTACTGGGGGCACTGCTGGCTGGCAAGACAACCGGCCAGTTCTCCATTGTTATCCTTGGGGCCACTGTTCTGACCGTTATATCGGTTCATGCTGCTGGCAACCTGGTTAACACCTATTGTGATTTTGTGCGAGGCATTGACAGCCAAGAACGACGCTCCGATGATCGAACACTGGTAGACAGTATTCTCACCCCAGAAGAGGTTGTCCATCTGGGTAATATTAGTTGTCCTGTTCTAATCATCAAGTGTGCCTTTATAACGTTCTTTTTCACATTAGGGGTTCTATTCTACTTGATTGGCTGCATCGGATTTCTCATTGTCGTACTGACCAGTCCAGCCCGAATGGAACTACTAGCTTTGATGTACTTTTGTGGTATTTCTTCATCGTTCCTATACACCGGTGGTGGTTTTAAATACATTGCTTTGGGCGATATCCTCATCATGGTCACTTTTGGACCGGTTAGCGTGCTCTACTCTTTTATTGCTCAAACTGGTAAAAACATTTTTTGTTATATGCTTCTTTCGAAACTAACCTTTCTGATTTCTAAGGAACAATTCGGCTGGTCACTCTTTNTCTACTCTTTTATTGCTCAAACTGGTAAGAACATTTTTTGTTATATGCTTCTTTCGAAACTAACCTTTCTGATTTCTAAGGAACAATTCGGTTGGTCACTCTTCTGTACGCAATTCCACTGGCACTGAACGCAGAGGCCATTTTGCATTCAAACAACACCCGTGACATTGAGGATGACCGAAAAGCTGGTTGTGTAACTATTGCGGTTCTCATTGGCCCTTCAGCGTCTCATGTTCTCTTTGCACTGCTGCTATTCACACCGTACATTCTCTTCATCGTGGTAGCCTTCCACTACTCCTTGTGGTTGCTCTTACCAGTAATCACTCTTCCATGGGCGTTCCAACTGGAGAAACAATTTCGCAATGGCAACCTTCGTAGCCTACCAAAGCAAATGGCACGACTCAACATATATTTTGGCATGTTCTACCTGTTGGCTTGTTTGTGTTCACAATCAAACAAGCTACCTGGACTTTTTCAGTTTTGAAGGCTGAAGCTTTGTGCAATTCCTTTTATACTTAACCGGGACCGTATATTTGAAAAGTTTACTGCAATATCAACTCTGAAGATGTGTGCCAGCTTACCTTTATCGTGATATCGTGAGCCATAAACAAAGCCAATTATCTTTCTCCCCAATTCTGCCAACCTACTTTATTCAATTTTCTGGAACACCCCACACATTAATATTAGTTGTAATTATGATGAACTTCACACATGTTATACAATTTTATTTGTACTCACAAACTTATTGTAATAATATATTTATTTTACTAATTTTAGCAACAAGTCGATGGATTGGGAGTTCATTTTTTATTGATCAGTTGGAAAGGTACATTAATTGTGAGAACTTATGGCAATAACTGAAACTTAACATTATTGCAACTGCAAGAAGTGGGAGACGGTACTTTTATGGTACGAATTTACAAAGATTGGAAAAAAATGAATGGAATGAATGAAAAGTGGTATTGCTTCAAAAGTGTCATGGACAACGATGCTTGACTTGAGGAGTGGAAATGTGAGATCAAAAGGTACAATTAACGACAATACTGATATGACTGGTAAAAGGAGGAAAAGGGAGAAAGAGAGTGGTAATGAAAAGCAAAGCAAAGACTAGGGACGACTCAACGACAAGAGGAAAAATGTGGAATGCAAAAGATGAGGAATTGGTGCTGCCCGGGGTGACTGGCTCTACGATGACTGGCGGTGACGACGGACTCGACGACGAGGGCCAGCCAGAGGACAGCCGGAGACGGTGCGATGACTGCTGTAGCCTCCAGTGGCATGGCCAGAGCCGTCACAGTCAGTGGTCGGACATTTCAACTGTTCTTGGTGGGCTGCAATGATCGTGGCACGGCTGGCGAAAGGACAACCAGACAGGCTGTCGGCAGAATGAATGTGTCGGTAAGTTTGAGAGTGGCTAATTATAACTCATATAATCCTAAGTACTTGTACCTTCTATGTGAAGCATAGTTCCCCGAAGTGTGGCCGGCGCCATTGCAGCCTACTGTTGGACATTGTGCTCTTTGATCACCTTGAGAAGATCTACAATGGATGTCACCTAGGAAAAAATGATGTTTTAAATATTGTATATTGTTTAGTGGCAGATATTTACCACTGAACTGGTCCTTTGAAAAGCAGTCTTTTGGCTGATGGGATGAAAAGTCTAGTGGTTGATCGGAGGTTTCGCTGATAGAGCTACTGTGAAATGAAACAAAAAACTTTTGTTATTTCCTCAAATTCGTATACCCACTTTAACAGAAA